GCAGAGTTTAATCGCGAGCCGTCGAGCCGCCGCTTCAATGGGGGAGTATATAGGGGACAGGAAGGGGGTAAAAATCGGTGAGGAGGAATCATGGCTGGATGCACTCCCTCCCTATGTTCACGCACTTTTACCGCCGGCTAGCATCGGCACTGGTTCTGCGTTTTTCGAGGAGGAATCGGCGACCTGTTGAGCCCGTTGTCCTGCCGAGGAAAGTCGTCCGAAAGTCGTTACAGAAACGCACTGCACGATCTTCAATAATATTTATTTCATGTTTGATATCGTGATATAAAAATAAGAAAAGAAAAAAGAAATTCGAAATCTCGTTTCTTATTTCTGAAATATTTCTTTGAAAAAATTCTACTTCAATTTGAATGTATTCGAAATAACAGTTTAAAAATGCTACTTAAAAGCGTATTAAAAGTATCTTTCACTTTATTCGATGAAGAATGTTGTAGAAAGTTTTGGTTAACCACAAATCTTCTACTACTACTAGCCACAGATTTTCTAATTCAAACTCCATTTCCATACAGGAAGAAAATATATATATATATATATATTCCACATGGTAGAATGATAAATTTTATTTTTATAAGAATTTTACAAAAGCAAAGTTTACGAGAATGAGAAACGGTGCTTCCCCAACAGCACTTTGCGCTTTCACGTGATTATAATTTTCCATCAGGCAGACCATTCTTTTTCTCCTTCCAACTCGGCTCAACGTGAAAATCAAAACAATATATACTTTTACTGCGTCGCGTTGCTCCACTTTCCCTTCTGTCTTTTTCTTTTAATGACACTCATCGCAATCATTCGTAATGATCGGTCCCCGACGACGAACGAGAAATTACAATTTACATCATGGACGTGCAAGAGGCACACGATACGATGTATAAAAAGAGAAAATGAAATGTCGCGCGACTGGCAGTTTCGACCGATGGAAGGATGGCAAACCTCGTATCGATCGCGATCGTTATTGCAGTTTGGAGCGTGCCACGATCCAGCGGGATCGATCCACGTGGATCGATCGAGAGAAGGGCAACAGCGGCAGG